TAATCACCTCCTACGACAAGCATGGCTTACGGAGGAAGAATTCTGTTCCATTTCCCCATGGAGATAAACGGAAATAAACAAGAGCAAGAGCTAGTAAGAAAATAGGTGAAAACCCAGGGGGGCGTGTGTATACATGTGCTTGTACATTCAAGTGTAGTGTGACCTAAGTGTAAATAGAAGTAACAAGATGTACCTGAAACCTTGCATGTACAGTAGGGCCCCGCTTTACGGCGTTCCGCTAATACAGTCATTTCAAATTATGACCAAAACTCTCTATATGGCTCCCCCCACCTGACTTTCTAATACGGTCACCGCACCCCACTCAGTTTGTTTACATTCTCCATGAGCTCTCTAAACACCACGTCTCTCCATTGTGTTCACAAACTCCAAAATTTCAAGTATTTTTAAAAGTTACTTTATATTTTATATATACTCAGATAATTATACACCTACCATCCGACTTACGACCTGCTCGACATACGTCCACTCGACTTACGACCGTGCATCTGGCAGCTGGGCTGGGATGGCTGATGCACACCACTGTACAATATTTGACAATACTCTCGGCGGCAATGCGTCATGCAGGCAGCATCAGTACTGTACTAACTGGACAGTAAATTTCACCATGGCCCCTAAAATGAAGTCTGAATCTTGCACTGGAGATTGTGGCAAGAAAGGCTCTTACTCTCGAACTATTTGTTTTCACTGTTGCACATCAACCTGTCTGTATCTGTCTGCCTGTATATCTGTGTCTGTCTGTATCTCTGTGTGTCTATCTGTCTGTCTACCAGTGTGTCTGTCTTTCTGTCTAATTGTGTGTCTTTCTGTCTACCTGTGTGTCTGTCTTTATGTCTACCTGTGTGTGTCTGTCTTTCTGTCTACCTGTGTGTCTGTCTTTCTACCTGTGTGTCTTTCTGTCTACCTGTGTCTGTCTTTGTCTACCTGTGTGTCTTTCTTTCTACATGTGTCTGTCTTTCTGTCTACCTGTGTGTCTTTCTGTCTACCTGTGTGTCTTTCTGTCTACCTGTGTGTGTCTTTCTGTCTACCTGTCTTTCTGTCTACCTGTGTGTCTGTCTTTATGTCTGCCTGTCTACCTGTCTACCTGTGTGTTTGTCTTTCTGTCTGCATGTCTGTCTCAGAGCTACTCATTAAGAGTGTAATTGGTCTTGAAGATTCCATATTAATAATGATAACACAATAATAATCACTGAGGTGCAGTAAATGTGTATAAAACATTAATATAGACATTTTGCTTAATCCATCTATATTTTTTTTTTCAGAATTATATAATAAACATGCTACATAACATATAAATTAACAAATATGAGATGTTTTTCTGGTCGACTTGACAAGAGTGAACAGAAACCATTCGTGTCCGGGCTGGTAACAACAACAACAACAACAATGTTTGTTTACATAACTCTTGAACATTCTACACTCTCATTCTCTCTCTTTTATTCATTTAATCTTGTTTAAAAACCTCTCTACATTAAGACTACAGATATTTTAAGGCAAGTAATGAGTGGACACGATTATTATATTATAGCTTAATAATATTATTGTTATTAATATTAGTACATATGTATTATTGTAATAATAATAATAATAATAATTATTATTTTTATTATTATTAATTTAGGGCACTGGAGCACAGATCCACTGTATAGCACTTTGTCTGGATTTTTTGGGTTATCCTAGGTAATTTATACTATGTATGATAACTTGACTTATGTGTACCTGTGAAAGAGAGAGAGAGAGAGAGAGAGATACAGAGAGAGAGAGAGAGAGAGAGATACAGAGAGAGAGACAGCCACATTTGGTCAGCCAGTCAGCCAACCACCCACCCACCCACCCGGCCAGCCAGCCAGCCACCCACCCACCCACAGACCCGGCCAGCCAGCCGGATAAGTATTACACATGTTCCAGAGTTGTTTCTCTTTACTTAGGGTATAGGTTATATTACATTCTGGCAGGATGACACTACCAGTGGTATTCTCCCATTCCACTGTGTCGACAATACACAAAGATAACAGTAACATATACTGTATGCGATGTAAATTTTACAATACAGTTCACTACCATGTATACATTATATACAGTACATAAATAATTAAAATATAACAATAGAAGTAAATTATGGTAAAAAGAATGAAATAATGATTATACATTACATTACAGTATTATGTAGGTAGTTTATATAGGAAAGGTTTGACATTATGCCCTGCCCAATATGTCGGCAATTTTCAAAGGTTCGACTTACGTCCATTTTGACTTACGACTGGTTGGTCGGAACCAAGCTTGGTCGTAAGTCGGATGGTAGGTGTACTTATGTATACCTGTACCTAAATGAACTTACACATTGTGCTGGCATGCAGGTACACATTAAAATCAGTAAGAGTGTCTGATGTCTCAAGATGCCATATTAGTAATTATAATAATACTTAATAATAATCATCGAGTCTCATTAAATGTCGTATATTACGTTAATATACACATTTTCATTAATCCATGTATGATATTTTTTCAGAATTACAGTATATAATAAACATGATACATAACATATAAAGATGATAAATACACTCCTCAGTAGAATAAATAAATATAAATATGAGATTTGGGAGCCAGACAACTTGTACTAGTGACGCCATATTAGTAATAATAATAATAATAATCACCGAGTCTCATTAAATGTCGTATATTACATAAGAACATAAGAAAGAAGGAACACTGCAACAGGCCTACTGACCCATGCAGAGCAGGTCCATGTTGTCCCCCGGATTAGCCCAATGACCCACCAAGCCTGGTCACCTCCACTCAAGGATGGAGCACTGCACCAGACCCAGCAGCACAAGCTAGTCAGGTCCAACTCACACCCACTCATGTATTTATCTAACCTATTTTTAAAACTACACAACGTTTTAGCCTCAATAACTGTACTCGGGAGTTTGTTCCACTCATCCACAAACCAGTGCTTTCCTATATCCTTCCTGAATCTGAATTTTTCCAACTTGAAACCATTGCTGCGAGTCCTGTCTTGGCTGGAAATTTTTAGCACGCTATTTACATCCCCTTTATTTATTCCCGCTTTCCATTTATACACCTCAATCATATCCCCCCTAATTCTATGCCTTTCGAGAGAGTGCAGATTCAGGGCCCTCAGTCTATCCTCATAGGGAAGATTTCTGATACATGGGATCATCTTTGTCATCCTCCTCTGTACGTTTTCCAGAACATTTATATCCATTCTGTAATACGGTGATCAGAACTGAGCGGCATAGTCTAAATGAGGCCTAACCAAGGACATATAGAGTTGAAGAACAACCTGAGGACTTCTATTATTTATACTTCTATATATTACGTTAATGTACACATTTTTATTAATCCAGCTATGATATTTTTTCAAAATTATATAATAAACACGATACATAACATATGAAGATGATAAATACACCCCACAGTAGAATAAATAAACATAAATATGAGATGTGGGAGCCAGACAACTTGTACTAGTGATGACAAGAATACTGTTTTCTCTAGTCCAACATAAGAGAAAATGTGTTACTGGGGGTAACTGTAGAAAATCATTCCTTTCGTATGCCTTCACTCAGAGCGTCATTTCTTCTAAAAAATTGTGTTACATGAGAAAGGGAGTGTTCCTCTTTATTTATTCTATCGTATCAACCTAGAGACAACTTGTACACAATGTAACTTGTACACAAACCAAACGTGTACAATTTGTGTGTTTACATAACTCAGGTTTGCCTGGTTTGTTTACATAACTCCACGAGTGTCCTCTGTCATGTACTCATTCTCTCTCTCTCTCTCTCTCTCTCTCTCTCATCTATTTGTTTTATCTCGTTTACTCACCTCTGACCCTACATTAAGACTACAAATATTTTAAGGTAAGTAATGAGTGAACTGTATATGCATTTTATCACTCTGGGATGCTTAATGTTATAGAATATTATGTCTGGAGGGGTGGCCTGGTGTGGTAGCCTGGCTGACTACCATACATACCACACTTGATTTCTTACAATAAATACTACTTGTCTCACCCTAGATTAAGACTACAAGTATTTTAAGGTAAGTAGTGAGTGTACTATATGTGTATTTTACTTTTTTATTTTTTTTTAATGCCTAGCTCTACTGCTAACCCCAAAGGAAATAATTGATACTGTCTGACTTTTTTTTGGGTTATCCCAGGTACTTTACACATATGCTGCTATGCATGATAATCTTTGTAACTGCATTTGTGTATATTTGAATAAATTTACTTACTTACTAACTTAATATATGTTAGTGTAAAATTGTTATCTAGTATTTGTATGCATTTATAAGTGGAAAAAAGAGATGTTCCACTTTACGTCGGTTTCCGCTTTATGGCAGTAGCCTGGAACCTAACCTGCCATATAAGTGGGGCCCTACTGTATATGAGAAAGAAAAAAAGACACCTGCAACCCTACCATCATGTAAAACAATTACAGGTTTCTGTTTTACACTCACTTTGTAGGATGGTAGTGCCTCCCTGGGCGATTGCTGTCTATGAACTTACTACCTATATTGTTGAAGCTAATGTGGAATATCTTTTTGGCCTGCACCAGTGAATATGCAACTTTGCTGTAACCTGCTCCAGAAGGCAAAAATTCTTCTTTAATAATGACAGCTTTCCTTACATTTTTTAATAATTTATTATGGAAGTGTTCATTAAGGAGGAGCAGTCAGCATCTTCACATCTAGTCATTGTATGAGCAGTATGTGGTCAGTAAACGGGAGGGAAGGACTTGTCATTCTTCTCTTATTAGATAAACAGTCATTGAGTTATGAATGTTATGTCACTGGCATTTTCAGGTGTGGATTATAATGACTAATTTACAGAAATATTTAAGAAAATATTATACATATAGGAGGCACTTTTTATTATCTTTTCCATCCAAGAAATTGGACCAGCCAGTGTTTATTAGAGAGCATATTCTCACAAGGGTTTGTCTTCTACTCAACAGAAACTGAAGGTCCACCGTTATCTATCACAGAGCAGCGTCGAGCCACCATTTTACAGGAACTTCCATTTGTCATTCCCTTTGAGTCGCGCACACAAGTCTTCAGCACCTTGGTTGCTAGTAACAGAAGCATGAGTCAGATGCGTGCAGATTTTAATGAAGGACCAATGATAAGTGTATCTATAAGAAGAACTCATATCTATGAAGATGCCTTTGAGAAATTGTCCCCAAGTAATGGTAAGCTAGTCACACATATACAACTGAGATTTTTCTTTTCCTGAGTGGTATTAAACAGTTGAGCAGTTTTGATGAATATAATAGTGTGGCTATTTTGATAGCCTTTTTTTTTTACTGTGCTTCATAGTATCGTTTGATCAGTACTGCAATGTCATTTTTTCAGAACCCAATCTCCGATTGCGCATGAGAGTTCGTCTCATGAATGCTGTAGGTTTAGATGAAGTTGGAATTGATGGAGGTGGAATATTCCGAGAATTTTTATCTGAATTGCTAAAGACTGCCTTTGACCCAACTCGAGGCTTCTTTCTTTTGACCCGAGAGAACACTCTTTACCCAAACCCTGGAGCACATCATATAGCTGAAGACTACCAGACACATTATTATTTTATTGGACGAATGTTAGGGAAGGTGAGTTATTATCATTTATTTAATGTTCATGGATTACTATTATTTGTATTGTTACAGTAGTCCCTTATTTAGTGCGGGGGGTTAAGTTTCTGAAAATTGGCATGTAAAATTAACCCCTTAACTGTCCAGACATAGATCTACATTCTCTCGCCCAGCATTCTGAATATTTTTTTTTTTTTTTAATGAAGAGGGCATTTTTTCTACATTTTTTTTTTTTATTATCACACTGGCCGATTCCCACCAAGGCAGGGTGGCCCGAAAAAGAAAAACTTTCACCATCATTCACTCCATCACTGTCTTGCCAGAAGGGTGCTTTACACTACAGTTTTTAAACTGCAACATTAACACCCCTCCTTCAGAGTGCAGGCACTGTACTTCCCATCTCCAGGACTCAAGTCCAGCCTGCCGGTTTCCCTGAATCCCTTCATAAATGTTACTTTGCTCACACTCCAACAGCACGTCAAGTATTAAAAACCATTTGTCTCCATTCACTCCTATCAAACACGCTCACGCATGCCTGCTGGAAGTCCAAGCCCCTCGCACACAAAACCTCCTTTACCCCCTCCCTCCAACCTTTCCTAGGCCGACTCCTACCCGCCTTCCTTCCACTACAGACTGATACACTCTTGAAGTCACTCTGTTTCGCTCCATTCTCTCTACATGTCCGAACCACCTCAACAACCCTTCCTCAGCCCTCTGGACAACAGTTTTGGTAATCCTGCACCTCCTCCTAACTTCCAAACTACAAATTCTCTGCATTATATTCACACCACACATTGCCCTCAGACATGACATCTCCACTGCCTCCAGCCTTCTCCTCGCTGCAACATTCATCACCCATGCTTCACACCCATATAAGAGCATTGGTAAAATTATACTCTCATACATTCCCCTCTTTGCCTCCAAGGACAAAGTTCTTTGTCTCCACAGACTCCTAAGTGCACCACTCACCCTTTTCCCCTCATCAATTCTATGATTCACCTCATCTTTCATAGACCCATCCGCTGACACGTCCATTCCCAAATATCTGAATACATTCACCTCCTCCATACTCTCTCCCTCCAATCTGATATCCAATCTTTCATCACCTAATCTTTTTGTTATCCTCATAACCTTACTCTTTCCTGTATTCACTTTTAATTTTCTTCTTTTGCACACCCTACCAAATTCATCCACCAATCTCTGCAACTTCTCTTCAGAATCTCCCAAGAGCACAGTGTCATCAGCAAAGAGCAACTGTGACAACTCCCACTTTATGTGTGATTCTTTATCTTTTAACTCCACGCCTCTCGCCAAGACCCTCGCATTTACTTCTCTTACAACCCCATCTATAAATATATTAAACAACCACGGTGACATCACAAATCCTTGTCTAAGGCCTACTTTTACTGGGGAATAATTTCCCTCTTTCCTACATACTCTAACTTGAGCCTCACTATTCTCGTAAAAACTCTTCACTGCTTTCAGTAACCTACCTCCTACACCATACACCTGCAACATCTGCCACATGCCCCCCTATCCACCCTGTCATATGCCTTTTCCAAATCCATAAATGCCACAAAGACCTCTTTAGCCTTATCTAAATACTGTTCACTTATGTTTCACTGTAAACACCTGGTCCACACACCCCCTACCTTTCCTAAAGCCTCCTTGTTCATCTGCTATCCTATTCTCCGTCTTACTCTTAATTCTTTCAATAATAACTCTATCATACACTTTACCAGGTATACTCAACAGACTTATCCCCCTATAATTTTTGCACTCTCTTTTGTCCCCTTTGCCTTTATACAAAGGAACTATGCATGCTCTCTGCCAATCCCTGGGTACCTTACCCTCTTCCATACATTTATTAAATAATTGCACCAACCACTCCAAAACTATATCCCCACCTGCTTTTAACATTTCTATCTTTATCCCATCAATCCCGGCTGCCTTACCCTCTTTCATTTTACCTACTGCCTCATGAACTTCCCCCACACTCACAACTGGCTCTTCCTCACTCCTACAAGATGTTATTCCTCCTTGCCCTATACACGAAATCACAGCTTCCCTATCTTCATCAACATTTAACAATTCCTCAAAATATTCCCTCCATCTTCCCAATACCTCTAACTCTCCATTTAATAACTCTCCTCTCTTATTTTTAACTGACAAATCCATTTGTTCTCTATGCTTCCTTAACTTGTTAATCTCACTCCAAAACTTTTTCTTATTTTCAACAAAATTTGTTGATAACATCTCACCCACTCTCTCATTTGTTCTCTTTTTACATTGCTTCACCACTCTCTTAACCTCTCTCTTTTTCTCCATATACTCTTCCCTCCTTGCATCACTTCTACTTTGTAAAAACTTCTCATATGCTAACTTTTTCTCCCTTACTACTCTCTTTACATCATCATTCCACCAATCGCTCCTCTTCCCTATTTATCCTATTACATGTAATAGGATAAAAAAAATAGGGTCAGTACTTACCGAGATATAAAACCATGAAGTTGGCTCTGGATGCTCACCTGACGGCAACGTGGAATCCTGTCGCTTGCAGAAATGTTCCCGTTCTATCTTTTTTTTCGTTTTTTTAGTTGTATTATTTTTATGTTCTGATAATTACAGTTTGTAGTAGTTCTTTTAATTTCATAGCCAATCTTTGTTCTGACACTAATATTAGGTACTGTAATAGTATTCAAATAGTCACAAACACACTGACAGGTGAACATTTTCACCTGCTTTGGTCACATACTATTGTCTAGAAATATATACAAAGTACACCTACCATCTGACTTACGATCTGCTCGACATATGTCCACTCGACTTACGACCGTGCATCTGGCAGCTGGACTGGGCCGGCTGATGCACACCACTGTACAATATTTGACAATACTCGCGGCGGCAATGTGTCATGTAGGCAGCATCAGTTTGAGTAACCCTGTCCTATCAGCAGCATCATACTGTATTAATTGTACTAACTGGACAGTAAATTTCACCATAGCCCCTAAGATGAAGTCTGAATTTTGCACTGGAGATTGTGGCAAGAAAGGCTCTTACTACCATGTATACATTATATACAGTAAATAAATAATTAAAATATAACAATAGAAGTAAATTATGGTAAAAAGAATGAAATAGTGATTGTGCATTACATTACAGAACTATGTAGGTAGTTTATGTAGGAAAAGTTTGACATTATGCCCTACCCAGTATGTCGGCAATTTTCAAAGGTTCGACTTACGTCCATTTTGACTTACGACCGGTTGGTCAGAACCAAGCTTGGCCGTAAGTCGGATGGTAGGTGTATTTATAGGTCCCAGCAATGTTTTAGATATGCTGGAGTATATATGAAGCTCCTTGAAGCAGTGAGTGACATTTGATGATTTTGCACTCCCTTACTTCATTTGTTTTCACTGTTACACATAAACATGTCTGTCTCTTTGTTTGGCTGTATCTGTTTGTATGTCTGTCTCATGAACCAACAGGTATTACACATGATGCAGAGTTGTCACATCTGATTCCTGAACAAGTGAAAATATATTACTTGCCAGTCATGCTTATTATGCCTTATATCTTCAAGCACAGTATAGTGCTTTGGGTTATCCTGGGTAATTTACACTATGTATAATAACTGTATTTATGTGCACCTGTGAGACAGAGACAGAGATAGACAGAGACAGAAATAGACAGAGACAGAAATAGACAGAGACAGAGATAGACAGACACACAGAGAGACAGACAGAGATAGAGGCAGACAGAGATACAGACAGACAGAGATAGAAACAGTCAAAGTCAGTCACCCACCCACCCAGCCAGCCAACTGGCCAGCCAACCATGCAGCCAACTGGCCACCCAGCCAGCCAGCCAAGCAGCCACCCAGCCAGCCAGCCAAGCAGCCACCCAGCCAGCCGGCATGCCGAACACGTATTACACACATTCCAGAATTGTTTCTCTTTACTTATGGACTAGGTTATAGGGCAATCTGGCAGGATGATACTACCGGTGGTATCCAAATTGAAAGGATGTTGCACATGGGTTATTATTGAGGTTTTTTATATTTCCTTGACCACTTGTGACCACATCCATCTCAGAGCTACTAAACTCTGGGTCAACATCACTTTCCTCTTAAAAGGTGAGTGTTAATACCACATGACATCAGTGAATCCTTGGTGTTTGCCATGCTCTTTACTCTAGCTGATTCTCAATTGAACTGGTGCTCCCACAAAATACCAAGTGGTCCCAGATTTTTTAATTCTGCGCACACTGAGTGTTAAGACCCATTCTATACTAACGAGGCATCTCAGGCCAATCATGCCAAATTTGGAGGCAGGAAAAAATAAAGTGTTGATGTACGTTTGGAGCGCTAGTGGTAACTCCGTAGATCTATGTTTAGATAGTTAAGGGGTTAAATCATGGGTAAATAATGTGAGAAACGTGGGAAAATTGGTTGCTCTCTAAACATCTTTGATATTTATATGTACTGCATTAATTTAATGTATAAAAATTATAATTTGCTTCACAATCTGGTAGCAATAATTTTTAGCAACTGAAGTGCATGTTGTTGTGATTGAAGGAGAACCAAAAGGGCGAGGTAACTTGCCTGTTTTACTTAGCAGACACTGCTGTAGCAACAACAGTAGATACACAAATAACCTTCATGTAGGAGACTGAAACCTCTCTCTAAAGTTTAATCCTTTGAGGGTTTCGGACGTACTAGTACGGCTTACGACCCAGGGTTTTTGACGTACTAGTACGCCTAAATTCTAGCGCCCTCAAATCTAGTGGGAGAAAGCTGGTAGGCCTTCATATGAAAGAATGGGTCTATGTGGTCAGTGTGCACAGTCTAAAAAAAATCCTGCAGCACACAGTGCATAATGAGAAAAAAAAAACTTTGACCATTTTTTTGGAATAAAACAGCAACTTTGCACTGTATTTTCGTATGGTATTTATTGTTGTATTCTAGTTTTCTTGGTCTCATTTTATAGAATGGAAGACATATTACAGAAATTGAGATG